GGCACCTGACTTGCCTTTGCTCTGTTCAGCCACCTACGCTGCTGCTGTCTTGTTCCGTGTCTCCGAGGACAAGAACCCAGATTACCGAAAGCGCGTGTCAGTGGAGCTCACCAACTCCCTCTTTAAACACGACCCCGCTGCCTGGGAGGCTGTGAGTGTCTAGGGCTGGGCTGCAGCGTGCGGGTGGGCAGGTTGCCTACTGCACAGGGACAGTACTTCAGAGTCGCCTTATCATGCTGTCAACGCCTTTATTTTATTGTATAAGTGATTTTTTATAGTTAAGTTTTTTTCTTTAATGTTTTTTTAAATTGTATTTATTTATGTGCTGAAGAACTTGGGTGCAGGCCAGAGGTGTGGGGTTGGAGGTATTGGGGGGGCGGGTGGCAAGAGGATTCACTAGAGACAGAGTGGGGAGCAGTACAGGCAGATGGACGAAATACACTGCTGAGGGGAGCAGCAGGCAGGTCAGGAGAGGTCTGCTGCGCCACATGGGTCACCTCCCTGGCCCTGCGGGGATCAGACTCAGGCCATCATGGTGATAGCGCTGAGATTTAACCCCTAGGCCACCAGAGAGGCCCTAGATCTTTATTTTATAACCGGAGCACTTGTGACAGTTCTCTACTATAGTAGTTTGGACTATCTACCTGTCAAAATGGCAACTTTATTTTACCTGACTAATACAGAGGGTTTGAGGCAGATGTGCCTTTTCTAACACACACAAAGATACAGCTGCCCTGACCCCGGGTGGAGCAGATCTGAGCCTCCCCTCCACTCCCCCTGAAATGCCCAAGCGTGGATGTTGGGGCCCTCTCCTGTAGGAGTTGCCTGAGAGCTGAAACCCTCTGTCCCTTCAAGGGGTTTCCATTTTTCTCCTGGCTTCCTTTCTAGAAGTGTCTGTTGCTGCCCGCAGCCCAGAGTCCACACCTCAATGTTTCTCTCTGTCTCCCCCTTAGGCCCAGAGCATGATCCCCATCAACGAGCCCTATGCGGATGGTAAGTGTGTGCAGAGAGCAGGCTGGGAGCTGGCGGGGAGAGGCCCATGGGGTGTGAGCGGTCCCCAGTGCCCAGGGGCCATGGCTGCCCTGGGAGCAGCCGCATGTCCTCCAGGCCCTTGATGTGAGAGTTTGGGGAACGGAGTCAGGCCCTCTGGGGGTCGAGCCAGGTGGAGGAGGTGGCTGAGGGCTGTCTGCAAGTGGCCTGCAGACCCTGGACACACTGCCTTCTGCTCCCCAGACATGGACGCCACCTACCGCCCCATGTACTCGAGCGACGTGCCCCTGGACCCCCTGGAGATGCATATGGACATGGACGGGGACTACCCCCTTGACACCTACAGCGACGGGCTCCGGCCCCCCTACCCCGCTGCGGACCACATGTCCTAGCTGGCCGAGCAGCTCGGCGCCCTCCCGCTTGGTGGCCCTCCTCGGCCTGCTGGCTGCTGAGACACGCTTTCCCTTCCCCAGAATCTCCTTCTCACAGAGGCCCTCTCATGTCTCCACTGAAACCTTGGCTCCTTTTTGGGGGGAACAAGTTGGCCTTTTGCTGTTGGGCTCCCTCAAGGCAGGCTTGCCTCAGCCTGCCTGACCCTGTTATATGGGCTGGGGCCCTGGGGAGTCCTGCCCTTCCTGTGGGTAGCGGAGCAGAGGAACACCTAGGGGACTTAGGGTGCCCTACCCCCCCTCCCCCGCCAGGCACACAGCTCTCAGAGAGGCTCTTATGCAGGCAGTGGGGCCAGTCAGAAAGTGCCTGACCCAGGGCGCAGGGCTGAGACTTCCTGCCGAGCCCTGCACCCCCAGGGGTCCTCCTAGGGCTTTTCGGGATGGTGATCTGCTCCCACTTTTCTGCTCTAGACTGTGGCTCTAGGGATCGACACCCCTCACCTCTACCCCAGCTCTAGCCCTTTGCCGCCGAAGCTTTAAACTCCAGCTGCCCACTCCCACCCCCTAGTCATCTAGGGTGCCAGGGCCCCACGGGCTTTGGTGACTTCTCTTGGTCTGATTTTCTCACTAAACTCCACCCAAACAACTAACTGCCCTGAGCCCCCCTGGATCCTGGGACCCAGGCTTAAGACCCAAGCCCCTGAAGTCCAGAGCTTGTCTCGAAATTCAGGGACTGTCTCTGAGAAGGGGAAGACACCAAGAGCCGGTCCCCTGCTCCAGGACCGGCTGTTTCTCTCCTGGGAGAGGCATTCAGTGGCTTTGACCCTCCAGGGGAGCTCTGGGGACAGTTCCCTGCACCCCTGCCCACCCACCCACCAACCCAGCTGACCCCTGAGAAGTGCTCTTGGCTGACCCCTCTGGTGTGCGGTGAGGGACTGTCTTCTTCCTGTTTCACACTCCCCCCACTGCCTCCTGCTTTGAGCGTGGGGGGCTAGGGGAGGTCCCAACGGAGTTTTATTATTACTGCTTTATGTTTTTGGTTATTGGTTTTTGTATAGACCAAAGCAAAGAAAATAAAAATAACACAGATCCAAAGAAGGCTGTTTAGGGAAGGTAGGTGGGGAGACGCGGGTGCCTTAGCAGCCTGGTGCCACTTGGTATGTGGGAAAGCCTCCCCGAGAGGGGAGTGCAGGAGAAGGGAGCATTTGCGAAGCTGGGTTGGCTTAATTCAGTGCACACTTGCCGGGCTCCAGCTTGAATCTTGGGAGCTGGAGGGGTGAGGAGATGATGGACTGAACGTCCTCCAGCACCAGGGTGCTCAGCTGAACGGCTCCCTGCTGCCCTGCTCCCAGCCGCACATGGGTGGATTTCTCTTTATGTTCCGGGAGTCCAGTTTCTCTTTATGTTGACTGGAGGCCTTCACCTGCTCACCCCGTGGGATCTGGCTCCGACCCCTGCAGGAACACGCCTCCACCCTCCACCCCCTCCCAGCCAGGCTGAACCCACATCCCTTGTCTGCCCCACAATGCCCTATGCACGGCTGTCATTTCACCCAACGCGTTGGTGCAGCTGTCAACTGTGACATGATGATCCACCCCCATGTGTCCCCAAATTCTTTCAGCTCCCCACCCTGGCAGCCTGTGACTCCTGGGCCAGCCCCCAGCCTTGGCCCACCTTCCGCACTTAGCTGGGGCTGTGCAGGGGAGGCAGACTGGCCTGCTTCTCCAGGAACAGCAGCACCTGGCTGGAGGTGGTGGGCGTGGCTGTCTGGAGATCCTAAGTGGGAGAGAGCCAGCTCCCCTGAGGAGCTGGGGGGTGGGGGGGGGAAGGAGAGAACAGCAGGATTGGCTCTGCAGAGGTCTTTTAACAATACATCTTGTTCAGGGCCTGTCTTAGCTCTGGCTACTATTATAACAAAATAGCATAGACAGGGGCCTTAAACAACAGGCATTCACTGCTCAGGTCTGGAGGCTGGACGTCCAAGATCAAGGTGCCAGCAGGTTCTGGTCTGCTGAACCCTGACTTCTTGGCTGGTAGGTAGCTGCTTCTCCGTGCACTGGTGTGGTCTTTCCAGGCGTGTGCTGCTGGAGAGAGCTCGATCGCTGAGGCCCCTGTTCCACCCTGTGGCCCCACCCTCACCCTAGCCTTTGAACCTAGCTGCCTTGCAGAGCCCTTGCCTCCAAATATCCTATTGGGGGGTAGGACTTCAGCATATAAATTTGGGGGACAGTCAGTCCATAAAAGGGCGCTGGCAGGAAACACTCAACTGAGTGATTCCAGACTTTTTGCCAGGGGACAACTTACCAAGGTGTGGGCAAGAGTAGGAGCAGCAAGGGAGAGGACAGGTCCCTGGGCCTCCGGAGGGAAGGGATGGCGTGCTTCTTGGGGACAGGACCCTGTGGATGAGCTTCCTGACCAGGGCAGTACCCTGGTCTCCACCTGGGAGCTATGACCTTACTCCCTCTTACCTGTTGGTGGAAACCAAGCAACCAGGGTGTCTTCCAGGTGGCCCATTCATGGTGCCTGCCACCGCCCAGAGCAAAGTGGAGAGTTCTGGAAAAGTCAGGCAAAGACAACTTGGCATACTTTCTTTCTCCCACCTCCTCAAAGGAAAATTCAAGTCAGCGTATAAGAAAGAATTGCTCTCTCAAGCCTCATAATAGGCAGAGAATAAAAGGAAGGCAGGGCAGCAAAACACACCCATTTTATGGCTTAATAGTGCCATGACTGAATGCTATGTCAGCTCCTGAGCCTCCTGGCAGCCTGGTCTAAAAGGAAAACAATGCAAGTCAGTCATTTTTTGTTTGTTTGTTTTTTAATCTGTTAGACTAATTTAAAAAAATGCTTTATTTACATCATCATTTTAAGCAAGAAAGCAAGATACAAACTACATATTTCCTGATTTTACTCATGTGCAAGGTAAAGAAACAAAGTAAACAGACCAAATAAAAATCCTTAGATTTGACAATAGAATGGTGGTTACCAGAGGGGCTGGAAGAGGGGGATGGGTGGGGGACAGGTAGAGGGTTCAGATGGATGGTGGTGGAGATGCTAAACCTTTGGTGTGAGGTGTGCTGTGGCACATTACAGTTGCCAAAATGTGAAGCTGTATTCATGAAACCCACACAGTGTTGTAATTCAATGTTGCCTTAATTAATGGGGGGAAATCCCTGCCAATTTACAATTGTAACTGTGACTTAACTTTAAAAAAAAAAAACTTTTAAAAGTGACTTAACTTAAAAAGGGCAAGTCAGTCTTGGTGACTTAGCCACCTCTCCAGTTTGCACAGAGGAACTATCTGAAGTCCACTGGGGACATGGCAGCCGGACACCAGTCATGCTGACAAGCCTGGGACTGAGTCTGGGACAATCTCTTCCTTTTAAGTGGACTTGGTGGGCGAAGCTCAGGCAAGGAAGGAGACTGAGTGAGTGGCCAGCGTGGGACAGGGACGCAGGCTTCCATGGCAGGCAGGCTTGATGGAGCAGCCTCACCCAAGGACCAGGCCCCATCTGTCCTGTCCTGGAAGAATGTCTCTGCCACCTACCACTGTCAACACTTTTCTCTTTGTAACTGGTGAACTTGAAACTGCTTTTAAAATATAATCTGTTGGGCCCTCCCTAGTGGCACAATGGAATGAAACAAAGCACCATCTGCAGCCACTGCAGCACAAGTTCTATCCCCAGACAGGGAGCTGACCCACATGGCGCAGCACACCTCTCCTGACACGCCCACTGCTCCCCTCAGCAGTGTATTTTGGTCAATCTGCCTGTTCTGCTCTCTACTCTGTCCCTGGTGAAACCTCTCACCCACCGCATCTCTGGCCTGTACCCAGTTCTGTATGAATAAATAAATAAATCTTAAAAAAAAAAAAGTCATCAAAAAGATAAACTCATGCTCTGTGCAGCAACATGACTGGAGCTGGCAGGGATGATGCCAACCTAGAGCTGGATGGTTTCAGGCCCTCCCCGGTGGCACAATGGGTTAGGGCACAGCACTGTGAAGCTGTCCAAACTGCACTGACCCACATGGCAACAGACCTCTCCTGTCTCCCCAGCTGCTCCCCTCAGCAGATTTCAGTCAATCTGTCTGCTCTGCTCCCCTCTGTGTCTCTGAGGAAGCCTCTCACTGCCCCTGCACTTCTGGCTTGTACCCCAGTTCTGTATGAATAAATAAATAAATCTTAAAAAAAAAACAAACACTGGGCTCTCCCTGGTGGCGCAGTGGGTTAAAGCACCACATTATGAGGCTCTCTGAAGCCTCTGCAGCTCCGAGTTCAATCCCCAAACCCCAAGCTGACCAGGATGCTGACCCACATGGCACATTCGACCTGTCCTGACCCACCCACGGCTCCCCTCAGCAGTTTATTTCAGTAGATCTGCCTGTTCTGCTCCCCACTTTGTCTCTGGTGATTCCTCTCACCCCTGAACCTCTGGCCTGTATGCATAAATCAATCAATCTTAAAAAAAAAAACAAGAAAACAGACCTGCCAATTAAAAAAAAGTTAATTTATTTATCTTATTTTCTCTAGCCCACCCTAGAAATAGTGATGTAAAATCAAAAATAATTTTGGGGACAATTTATTTTTATTTTATTTCTTTTTTCTTTTTTTATTTAAATTTTTTTATTATTACAAAAGTTTATTTTTACATCATTTTGTACATTTTTTTTCCATCTCAATTGTAATCCCCGCAGGTTTCCCATCACCAAGTCACCCATGTGCCATCACCATAATCCCGTGCATTTCCCTCCCCCCCCCGTTTTTTATTTTATTTTTTAAAAAGATTTATTTATTTATGCACATAAGAGCTAAGGTGCGGGCCAGAGGTGGGGTGTGTGAGAGGATTCACCAGAGACAGAGTGGGGAGCAGAACAGGTGGATTGATTGAAATACACTGCTGAGGGGAGCAGCGGAAGACAGGACAGGAGAGGTCTGCATTGTGATAGCGCTGAGACTTAACCCCTGGGCCACAGAGAGGTCCTCACTTCATTTTTGAGGCCGAAGTTCTAGGCACCCGCCTTGGCTAGTATTCTCAAACTTTCTGTCAAGCACAGCAGGGAGTTACCATTTGCTGAGGCCATCTCCCTCCCCCAGGCATTAAATGATTCACTGCATACTTTCACTTTTTTTTTAAAAAAGATTTATTTATTTATGCATACAGAACTGGGGTACAGGCCAGAGATTCAGGGGCGGTGAGCGAGCAGTGGGCGGTCAGGAGAGGTCTGCTGCGCCAGCCACGTGGGTGAGCTCTGGGGCGGGACCCAACTCTCACTGAAGGGGCTGCTTGCTGCTGCCCATTGCTAACCCATTGCGCACCACGGAGGGCCAGCACACTTTCGCCTTTACCCCTATGTCCCTGCTCAGATCTGGGCCCTCACCTCGAAGGCTCGAAGGCTCCTGGAATACCTCCCCCCCCGGGACTTTTTCCAGGTTGGAATGTGACCATGGCCTGGTCAGGGCAGCAGAGCGGCGGCCCCGCCTCACGACCTGGGGGGTCTCCTGTGCACTCTGGGCTGGCGCGGGGCTGAGGGTGGGCATTACAAGGGCTGGTGGGGGCTGGGCCAGGCTTTGCTGACTCTAAGGTGGGAACAGATGCAGGCGGGTGGAGCCCGGCTTGGAAGGACACTGGAGGTGTCCATGGCGTGTCCTGCACTCCGCGGGCTGTGGCAGACACCCACTAGCCAGGCCATACTGGCCAGTGACAGGGGTCTGAGCCTTGGTTTTCCCATCCATAGAATGGAGTCACCATCCTTACTCTGCCTTCTTTGTGGGGGTCAGACCAGGCAGATGAGGGAGCTGGCATGAGGTGTGTGGGGTGGCACTGCCCTCTGGTGGCTGCAGCTAGACTTGCCAGGTGTGAACCCCCAAAGGGCGCCGTCAGCTGGAAGCTGGGGGGTGGGGGGAGATTCCCTTCATCCTTGTCTTCTCCATCCCACTTCCTTCCTCTTCACCTCTCACTTTCCAGGAGCCTCTGCGCTGCTTCCTCATGGGCAGGGATAGCTCAGTCCAGCAAACATCTGTCCAGCAGGACTTGAGTGGCCCCTGCCACTCCTGAGCGCAGCTGCTGCTCCCCCTGCGCGCTGTCCAGGCAAGCTCTGGGTGGGGTGCGTGTCCTTCAAACTTGGCAGGCTGCACCGCGGAGCACCCCTTGCAAAAGCAGACCGGAAGTCCCGCGGCGAGTGCGGAGGGGAGGGTGCCCCCAGCTAGGGACTTCGGGGTCCGGTAGCAGAATCCTCCCACCCAGAAGGGGCGGCTTTGGGCAGAACCATTCTTTTGAGTGGGGGAGGGACGAAGCCCTTCGCCTGGAGGCCACGCCCAGCTAGCATCTCCGCTCGTCTTGTCCTCGTCCTTTATTTTTGCCCTCTGTCCCGCCAATCTTAAGCCCCGCGAGCGCGACCCCCAGTTCCGGCACCACCAGTTGCTCCTCGGCGCCCCCTCCTCGCGGGCGGGTGGGCGGGCGCCGCTGCAGGTGCAGGTTATCGAGACCCGCTGAGGCGACCGGCTGCGGACGCGAGGTGCGCCCCGAAGTGTCGCGGCCCAGGGATCCCACAGCAGTCGCCCCTGCGTTCCCACCCGCCGTCAATCCCGCTGAGAGCCGTCGCCCGACGCGAGCAAGCCCCTGCGCAGGGACCGGTATCTGGACCGCGCAGGGTCGGGAGCCCAGTCGGTGTCGGGACCGCCGGCTGAAGGTGCGGGGCCTCCGAGGGGAGCCGAGGCCAGAGCCCAGCGCGCCCGCATTTTCGGCTGCCCAGGGGAATATCCAGCCAGCACCCCGCAGCCCCGACGCGCGGTGGGTCCGCTTCAGACCAAGGGCCCTTTGGGCCGCAGACACCGGCTTGGGAATGGAGGGG